TTTACGTCTGTTTTGAGCAAGAAATTAAAATGGTGTCTGAATGAATACCGGCCACACACCCTTCTTCTCCACTTTTCAATCCATAAAAAACTGCAAGGCCGGCGCCCCATTTCTAATTTTATATGGACTATTACTCAAGTTAGACTCTTACTTTTTTGTAATTTCTTTTAATTATATAAATTAAATATAGTTTTAATAAATATTATAAAAACATAATATATCAAAATCACATTTTAAAATTAACCTAATTATATATAGTGTCAGATTGTCAAAATACAAACTTCCATTTTTCAGATTAAAATATGAAACTTCTATTTTAAAGATAAAACTTATATTTTACTCTTATTTTTATGGTTTTTAAAAAATTAAACTAGAGAATAATTTTGGGACAGCAAAGTATTTATTATGCATATCTTGTGTGGTGAAAGGAATTAAGTGAGTGTTTCTTTGTTCTTATAATTAAGTTGGTCAAAACAGTTTATAAGTATTTTTTAACTTATAAATCTATTATGACATATTTCTCTACGTTTTATAAGCTAACTTATAATATGCTTATAAGGCAGAAAAAATAAATAGATCTTACTTCCATCAAAAAATATTTTCTTTATAAGAAGATTATAGTTTAAAAACTTCTTATCGGCAATAAATCAATAAACACTAGCACAGAAAAACACTCCCTAAATAACAACCACATACCCAGAGATAAGTGCAAGATGCATAATTTCGTGAGATGTACTATAACGAAGCGGAGTATTTAATTAGTAATTTAAAAAAATGTTTTTTTTCTTTTTTGGATGGAATAACAACCATATAGGCACATTCATAGTAGTTTGGTGAAACTAACGTTAAAAAAATATTTAAAAAAAACCCGTAAAAGAAATGGTAGGAGTAACGTTGTTTCTTCTAGTCGCATGTACACGCAAAGTTGCAAATTTACACGGAGTATTTTATTAATTAATTCCTTAATATATACGGATGCCTTTTGATTAATTTTATCCACTCGATAAGATTGATTTTTTTTTAACTCCTGTCCTTCCACTTCACATAATTTAAAAAAAAAAAAATTCATTTTAAATGAGATTTAAAAATATATGAGCAATCTTTCTAAGTGATGAAAAGTTTTCTATTTTCATGTTATACTTAAAAGTTTTCATTCGTTAAAAAACAAACGAGTAAATTTTATTCCCTACTCAAGAGTATGGGTAAGTGTGGTTTATAATTTTTTTTTCTTTTGTACACAAAACTTAATCATGATTTTTTTTATATTTTTAAAATTTTATAAGAAAAAGAAATAAAAACTTAATTTAGGGACTAAGTTAACCCATATAGCCATATAGGTCGTTATTGCCCGTTGGGTGCGCCAATAATTTATTGCTTGCACACCAAAGCTAGCAACCTAATACATATCAAATTATCACATGATAATCCATAGTGACCTGATTCTTTTTTAATTGATCATTATGATTTTCTTTTGTGATACATTAAAAATTTAGCGAATATAGACCTACGTCTTGTCTACATTCATTCATCAATATATCAAAAAAAAAAATTATTAGTCACTTAAAAGAGGATGAAGGAAACTGAAAATCTGAAACTAGCTAACCTTTTCATTTATCTATAAAAAGGGAGTGCCACAGTCCTCTAAGTTCCATATATCCCATCTCAGCTCCTTACATCATCTATCCTATTCCTATAATCCTATCATACACACACCAAAGCAACAAGGAACATAATAGAGATGATGAACAAGCAGTTCTTCCTCCTCCTCCTCATAGGCACCCTGACCCTAGCTTTGGTTCTTAGCCGAGGCTCGGGGTTCGAATACGACCCCACGGAGTTGGAGAGCGAGGAGAGGTTGTGGGAGATGTACGAGAGGTGGAGGAGCCACCACACGGTGTCCACCAGCCTCGACGAGAAGCACAAGAGGTTCAACGTCTTCAAGTCCAACCTCCACTACGTCCACGCCTTCAACAAGAGGGACGACAAGCCTTACAAGCTCAAGCTCAACAAGTTTGCCGACATGACCAACCACGAATTCAGAAGCGCGTACGCCGGTTCCAAGATCAAGCACCACCGCCTGCTCCAAGGCGCCGCCTCTCGCGCCAACCCGTCCTTCCGCTACGCCAACGTGACCGACACCCCCTCTTCCGTTGATTGGCGGGCCAAGGGTGCCGTTTCACCCGTCAAAGACCAAGGCCAATGTGGTAAGAAAGAATTAAACTTAAATGGTTTTTATTGATTTGGCTCCATGCAGCATTCTTGGGCCTTCGACCACAAGTTTGAGTTTTTTGATGAGTTGGTTCCTTGATGAATCACATGCGTGCGATGATGTAGGGAGTTGTTGGGCGTTTTCAACGGTTGTAGCAGTTGAGGGCATAAACCAAATCAAAACGAACAAATTAGTGCCTTTGTCTGAGCAGGAGCTCATTGACTGCGACACGCAGGAAAACCAAGGGTGCAATGGGGGGATCATGGATTCAGCATTTGATTTCATCAAAAAGAAAGGAGGCATCTCCACCGAAGACACCTACCCTTACAAGGCTGCACAGAGAAGATGTGATATTAGAAAGGTGTAAATAATAATCAATAATGCCAGTATTCTTCCTAACATTACATTACGCTCACATGTACACATATATTGATGCATGCATGCATGCGACGATTGAATTATGTATGTTGATCAGATGAACTCACCAGCAGTGTCAATCGATGGGCACGAGGACGTGCCAGCAAATGATGAGGATGCGCTGCTCAAAGCCGTTGCAAACCAACCTGTCGCTGTGGCCATTGAAGCTTCTGGCTCTGATTTCCAGTTCTATTCAGAGGTGAGTCATAAATTTAACATCCCAAAAGGTCAATCTAACACGACAAGTACCAACAGCAACAAACCCAGTAAAATCCCACACTAAACTTGGGAAATAAGAGAAGTATCATCAGCAGTGCAAAAACTTATACTCCGTATGTCGGTTTGTAAATTTATAGTTGACCATATATGATTTATGTGCAGGGAGTGTTCACGGGGGAATGTGGAAAAGAGCTCGACCATGGGGTGGCGATTGTCGGGTATGGGACTACACAGGATGGGACGAAATACTGGATAGTGAGGAACTCGTGGGGAGGTGAATGGGGAGAAAAGGGATACATAAGGATGCAACGAGGAATAGAGGACAAGGAAGGACTGTGTGGCATTGCCATGCTTGCATCCTACCCGGTCAAGACCTCTTCCACCAACCCCAAACACTCATCTTCTACTACTACTGCTGCTGCTGATCAAGATGATTTGCCTCAGCCCAAGGATGAGCTCTAAGCATGCTGATGCATGCCATTCTACTACTCAACAAGCCCTAACAGATTATCACATTATTTATTTGTTTGTGCTCCTATGGATACCACCTAAACCTAAAGCCCTATATATATATATATATATATGCCAAAAGTAGTACCTGCTCATTGCTATATTGCAGAAAGCAGCATCATTTAAATATGCTTTGCAACTACTTGATTGCCGTAAGTGAATTAGTATTCTGTGTATTTGTAGCCCCCTGCATACTTGTATTGTACTGTGAAATATTAAAATGAAAAACTTCTTCTTTGGGTCATGTTTGGTACACATCTTTTTTCTTGAAAATGAGATTTTTGAAGTAAATAAATTGGTCAAACATAGTTACAAATATAATTAGGAATCTTTTTTTAAAAACAGAGAAAGTAGTTAAAAGTATAATTACAAATAAGTTTAGATGGGTGATAGGCTACAATGGGTGAATAGGAAGAAGGAATGTGAGGCTAGATGATGATGGTGGAGGCATCGCCGGATCACTGCAACGCCAGGGAGAGGGGAGGAGAGAATGAAAATATGTTAGACCTAGGCTTATGATTAAAGATTTATGTATATATAAGTAATTTATTTAAAACTATATTTATTAATGGTCAAAGTGTTGCACAATTTGACAAAAAAAGTCAAATTGTGCCTTTAGTTTTGGGACGGAGGGAGTAATCAAAGATAAATGTGTGGTTGAATTTTATTTTAAAAATGAGATACTCTGTATTACCATATATGAGAACATGTCCATTTCTTTTCAAGGAAATAAAGAAACTCTGAAGTTTTTTGACACATCAAAAGAAAGCAGAATGATTTCTGGGTAACAGAATTAAATAAAAGTCTTCTACTTATTGTTGACTAATATATCCCTGACTTCATCATATCAAAATAACCCCGATTTTTAACGGGCCATGGATGATAATCCGACCATTAATATTTGCCGTGAATAATCCACCCTTTAAAGTAACTGTACAAGTCTACAAGATACATCCATAATACGGAGTAATAATAATAATAACAATGATAATAATAGCTCTACAACATGTGTCCTTCTTCCCAATGTAGCACTTTTAGTCATTATGCATTAGTCGTTATTCAAGCAAATATTCACCATCACTGGACATTATGGACATTATTAAGTGCTATTTAGGGAATAAAACAGTTTAAGTGCTATTTAGGGAAATGACTTATGTTTTAGTGCTATTTAGTGCAAATATTTCTAATAAATAATAAAAATGACATTATTTATTTATTACCATGGTAATTTATTTCAAAGAGAAAACATAATTGGTTGGGCATGTGATTGCCGAGAGAGACATATATGCATGGTTGCGTTCTCTTCCCCAAATCAAGGAACTGTTGTACTCTAATTAATTTGTTGTGGGGAGCAACTTTGCTTCTTCGTGTTACCTTAGTTGGGTGAAATGTTTCTTACTTAGCCTACCCGCTGGAATGGTGCATGCATAATCCCCACTCACACATCTTTGTTTTTTGGAGTATATATATAAACAAGCAGAATTCCACTTTTCCCCCACTCCCATCTCATCTTCATTTCATTATCTTTTTCTTCTATAATAATAATAATAATAATAGTAATTACAGAGTATTATTATTATTATAGCAATAATATCATATCATATACGAGTAATAATATAAATAATGGAGGTGAAAAAGGTATCACTCCTACTTGTGCTTACCTTATTAGCTTTGGTTATTGGGATAGGAGAAGGCTTTGAATACGACGAGAGGGAGTTGGAGAGCGAGGAGAGCTTGTGGGAGATGTACGAGAGGTGGAGGGGCTACCACACACTGTCCACCAACCTCGACGAGAAGAACAAGAGGTTCAACGTCTTCAAGTCCAACACTCGCTACGTCCACAACTTCAACAAGATGGACAACAAGCCTTACAAGCTCAAGCTCAACAAGTTTGCCGACATGACCAACCACGAATTCAGAAGCACGTACGCCGGTTCCAAAATAAATCACCACCGACAGCTGCAAGGCACCTCTCGCACTAAACCATCCTTTCGGTACGCCAATGCGACCACAGTCCCAACCTCTGTTGATTGGAGGACCAAAGGGGCCGTTACACCTGTCAAGGACCAAGGAAAATGCGGTAAGGGAGAGCATATGTGCAGATTGAGTGGGAAAAACAATAATTCAATGAATATCACTTGATTCCCGTTTGGAACATCGTTTTCAATTACCACTGGCATTTTGGATTATTTTTCAATGGTGCATATTAACTTTGAAAACGTTAAATCTCCCGTTAGATAGTCTTTTAAAAACGCTAAACATGTTGTCAAACAAGCACTTGATATGTCATCTCACCTCATCTCTTGTCCTCCAATCAATGTGCAGGAAGCTGTTGGGCGTTTTCAGCTGTTGCTGCAATTGAAGGTATAAACAAAATCAAGACAGAGAAGCTAGTTTCCTTGTCGGAGCAAGAGCTTGTGGACTGCGACACTAAGAAGAACACAGGTTGCGATGGAGGGCTCATGGATTTAGCATTTGATTTCATCAAGAAGGAAGGAGGCATCACCACCGAACAAAACTACCCTTACAAGGCTAAACAAACAAAGTGTCAGGTCAAACAGGTAATAGTAAAACAAGCTAGATATAGATATTACGAGACATGGTATGCGTGCATGCATACATACATACACTAATATTTAATTATTATTGTAAATATGTGCATGCACGATATGCAGATGAAGTCACCTGTAGTATCCATTGACGGACACGAGGACGTGCCTGAAAATGATGAGGATGCACTGCGCAAGGCAGTAGCAAACCAACCTGTCTCTGTGGGGATTGAAGCTGCAGGTCATGACTTCCAGTTCTATTCAGAGGTACATACACAAACACACACGACTGCAATATTTTAATTCACGAGTTCCTTTGTTAACAAGTGCTACGAAATAATTCACACATGAAGTAAAACAAGAGGTGATCCCAATTCATTGCATTTGCAGGGTGTGTTCAATGGGAAATGTGGAACAGAGCTCGACCACGGGGTGACAATCGTCGGGTATGGGAAAACACAGGACGGGACCCAATACTGGATCGTGAAGAACTCGTGGGGAGATGAGTGGGGAGAGAAGGGATACATAAGGATGCAACGAGGAATAGAGGACAAGGAAGGACTGTGTGGCATTGCCATGCTTGCATCCTACCCGGTCAAGACCTCTTCCACCAACCCCAAACACTCATCTTCTACTACTACTGCTGCTGATCAAGATGATTTACATAAGCCTAAGGATGAGCTCTGATATGATTCATCCAACCGCATGCTGTATGGAAGCAACTCTGGTTCACATGAACATCGAATACCTGCTCCACGCATTTGTTAGTCGCCAAAAAATATTGCTATAATATGATTAAGTAATTATATAATGGAAAGCATTGTGTTTGCAAATTTTAAACGATACTCCCTCCGTCCCAAAAAAAGGTTTTCACTTTCCTTTTTCATTTGTTCCAAAATAGTTTTCTCACTTTTCTCTTTCCATTTTTAGAAAAGAATGTGGTCCAAGATACTTCTCTCTCTTTTAAATAAATTCAAACGCCTCACTTTTTACTATTCAACACTTTTTAATTCCCGTGAAGTCATAAGTGAGCAAACTAATTTGGAACGATGAGAGTATAAAGATAGATATTGACTAAAAATTACTCCGTATGTTTCACAAACTGGCTCCACCACAAGTATTCTTCTGCATAAAACAATACCTAATTTGCAGCATTGATATTCTAGCAAAGTTTAGTATGAACAAAAAAGAGAAGAGTTGAGTGCAAGGCATGAGGTGACTTCTAGCCACTACTATTTCAACAGTTATTGCAAATAAATATCCCAAGAGACCCATCTTCACAAAATTATACAAGCAGTTTTTGCAAGCTGATTAAGATTTAAGATATTTCCTTGTTATCGGGAATTTTATGGATTGCTAATAAAATTATAATTAAATTTAAAACTGAGCAGATTTTTCTCTCACATTTGAGAAGAAATATCTTTAGTAGTTAGAGAAGCCTCTTTTTTTAAGCCAAACTGATAAAGTGACCTTCTAAAATTAAATATAAAAGCATGACACTGAATTCTGGTGTAGGAATGCTAACAAAGGAATGATAGTTTAAGGGAAAAGAAAAATAGGATTTTAAAAGAACAAACGAGAAAGGAACAAGTTTCATATCAAATTATTGCATGAAACTGAAAGAAAACATAGAGGACTATTAGCTTATCATCAATCAAAAGAATAAGGTAAGACACAGGATGCATAGTAGAAAAAATCAAGTGCGGTGTAATATGAGATGCATAAAATAGAGTAAATGTCATACTCAAGGATCCCTCAATTGTTCCAATAGTTTATAAAGAAAATGGTTTCCAACATTTTCAGAACAGATAGAAGCTGCCAGTGACTGCCAAACAGAAGCATCTGGTATCTTAGCTTGACTAATCATCTCCTCTAACAGCACAATTGCTTTGTGTAAATTATTATCGACCAAGCAAAGACCTTGGATAAGAGCATTAAAAGTTTGAACTTTAGGCCAATAGGAATTATTCAGCATGTTCTCCAACACAAAACTTGCTTGTCTGTACCTTCCTTCACGACACAACCCATCCACTAGATTCTCATAAGTGTCCTTGTTGGCAACACAACAGACCTGCCTTGATATCTTCTCTAGATACTTGACAGCAAAATCTGATTTTCTTTCATCACATAGGCCTTTTATTAGAGTATTGTAAATCATAATGTTGGGAACACAGTTGTTACCTAGCATGTCCCGGTCAACAACCTCCACGGCCTCATTGACCCGATGCTGTCTAAACAATGCAAGTAATTTAGCTTCATATATCTCAACTGATGGCCTAAAGCCTTTATTACACATTTCCCTCAAAACTCTGTTACCTTCATCAATCTTGTCTCCAGCGTAATAATCAATTGCCATTGCCCTGTAACTCTTGTGACTTGGGATTAAGCCGGTGACTAAAGCTTCACTGATGTGCGCTTTTAAACTCTCGATATCTGCTCCATGGTGGCACTGAATTTGCCTACGGTGTCTCTTAGGAGACTTGAGCCCTTTCTGCAAGATTTTTGAAAGAATCCTGAGTGCCTCATCAATGTCCCCGTTATCACACAGAGCTTCCAAAAGTGTTCTATATATCACAACATCTTCACCACTGCCCTTTGCTGAAATCCTCCAGAACATCGAATACAATAGGTGAATAGCATCCTCAAACCTCTTTTCTTGGCACAGTCCATTCATCAAAATCCTATAACTTTCCTTGTCCACACAGCAGCTGTGATAATTCATCTCTTGGAATATATGACACGCAAGATCAGATCTTTTGGTTTGGCAAAGGGCAGACATTAGTAAATTCAAAGAAAAAGTCCGAGACTTTACTTCCCATCGGCTTGAATTCTCAAGAAAGATGTGATATGCATCATCAAGCTTAGACTCTTTAACCAGTATCTCCAACATGGTATTGAAAGATTGAGTCCAGTTCACACAGTTGAACTGCGGAAGGCTCTTGAAGAGCAAAACCGCCTCGTCCATCAATTTGGCCTCTGCATAGGTTTTGATGGCACTAACAAAGACCGAATCGTGGCACCGGCACGAATCTTCCTTCATCTGACTAATAACATGTTTCATCTCACTCAGCTTGCCACAGCTCCCTAAAATGTTAATCATGGTTGCATAAACAGGTCCATTATGATGGTATTTTGGATATCTACCCTTCACTTGATTAAAGATTTCAAGCGCTTTCAGAGGGTTCTTCTGTTCCCTAATGATCTGTGAGAGTTGGGTTGGTGTTAAAATCCTTGGCCATCTAATCGTCATGTCCCCTAGAGCAGATCCAACTCTGAAACAAGTCACATATGACATATCAACCACACCAGTGAGTAAACATTGCCTGAATCAAGCAAGAAGTGTACTCCGCGATAATAAAAAAAAACCTTGCCAGAGGGATGAAAACTCAGCTATAATTTTTTTCAAACAGTTTGAGGGCATCCGAGGTTGAAGAAAAACTTGGGAATCAAAGAAAAGAGAAACGCCATGTATGAATGTAGTGTAGCTTATCCATACCTTCAGAAACTACTACGCCGAAACGCTCGCTGCTAATAATGGAGAAGCAGAAATGCTGAGGACCCACAGCATGACAAGCTATACATTACCCCTGCTTGTCCGTCCACCAGACGACTTCCAATCCAATCCAACCCACTTTATTTTTAATTCAATTTAATTGATGATAGAAATAAAATTTTAAAATAAAATTTATATAGTAATAAACTACATAAAAAGTTCTACAAAACTAGAGGTGACAAGACTATATTATTTTACGAAATGACTAGTAAAAATGAGTAAACAAAGTAAGTAAAGTTTGACCCTGTGAATAGTGTCTGGGAAGATCAATGGTGGAGGCATTCTAGTCTAGAATCTAGCACCATGTACATCTAGCATTTCTCAATGGTTTATGATTGTTAGACCTGGCAAATCGGTCGGTCATGTTGGGTTCGGGTTCGGTCACCTTGGGTTCGGGTTACTTCGGGTTCGGTTAAGTTCGGGTTGATAACTACATGTTCATGACCCAGTGTCATTGGGTTTGGGTTGACCCAACGGGTTATGAGTTTCATTTATTTTTTTGAAATTTTAAGTAATTTTTATGACTTAGTGTCAATATTACGAATAAAAAAAATTAAATATGTAGAAATTTTGAAAAAAGGTAAGATAAGTATGCGACATCATTAAAATTTGTTATGATGTTATAAATCTATACACAAAAAATGAGTAGTAAGCAAAGAAATATAATCATAATATTATTTTCATAACATTATATTTCATATTAAAATGTATGATTCTGAAAAAATCTTAGATTAGCGGGTCGGTCAGGTCGGGTTCGGGTTCGGTCGGGTTTGACCCATTTTTAGCAGGTCATTTTGGGTTCGGTCAACGTCGGGTTCGGTCAGCAAAATCTTTGTTCAAAACCCAGTATTTTCGGGTCGGGTCTCGGGTCAAAACCAGGTCGGTCATTTTTTTGCCAAGTCTAATGATTGTTATCCGGGGAACCAGTAGTAGGTTTTTTTTGTTATTCTACTGCCAAACTAATGGAGAAGCTCACACATATTAGTCATATATATTGTGATCTTAGGACTTGATTTTGATTCAATTTGAAATTGGGGGCATGCTAGGGGTACACCAAATGGGGTATTCATTTGTATACCAGGCAAACACCGCTATTTAGTATACAAATGGGGTACTCCATTTTGGTGTACCCCTAGATTTATTCTTTGAAATTTTTGTTAAAATATTAAAATATGATTGTTTAATGCATCGAAATGGAAGGCACACGTGCAACAAGCTGCATTGATAGTTCTTTTTTAAATAGCAAAATCTAAGTTATTTGAAAAATTACATTCATAGATCTAGGAATTGTATGACTATGCATGACTCGTTGGATTCGACTAAACAATTTTATAGCCTCAAGCGCTGGGAAACTAAATGTGTCAAATGCAAATGGTATAAACATGTAGTGGTTGTCGAAGCATGCTCTCAGTCTCTCGTGTTTGGTAACTTTACATGAAACAATTTTTAATAGAACTTGATGTGCCGTAAAAACATCAATCTTCAAGCTCACAAGAGGAGAAATCCTTTTTAAATCCACACAAGCATGTTTCTCACTCATTTATCCAAAGACTAAAATTAGGGGTGAGCGCGGTACGGTATGGTACGGTATTTAGCTCGTACCGATATCGTACCAAATATTTCGGTTCGGTATGGGATTTTACGTTGTACTGATCTTGATCCCGAAGCATCGGTTCGGTATGGTTTGGGATGGTTCGGTATCGGTTTCGGTACGAATCGGGATGAATATGTACGTGCCTAGTTTACATCATAAAATGTAACAAAACCTTTTATTTTTGAAAAATCGAATGTACATTTAACCAAAGAAAGATAAAAAAAAATTTAAAAATGAAAAAATAAAATGCAAGAAATGCTTATGAAAGTTAGTTTATATTTCATAAACTAAATAGAACGAGTGATAACAAAGTATTATATCAAATATTTGTTAATATTCTTATAATCATCTACAAAAAGTAAAAAACTCTTATTAAAGTGCAACTTAAACATAATGAAAATAAACTAAATTGTCTATATAAATTTTTTTATTTAATGAAAAAATATAAAAAGATAATTATTTTATAATATATTAGTATATATGTTCGGTTCGGGAATTTCGGTATGGAAAGTAACCTCGTACCGTTCCCAAATACCGGACCGACCGTTCGGTTTGGTACGATTCGGTTTCTTTTCGGTACTTTATCGGTTCGGTATTCTCGGTTTTTTCGGGAAATATCGGGATCGGTTTGGTCCTTGCTCACCCCTAACTAAAATGTCAACTTGTCCAGGAGTAGATCTTCCTTGCGAATGGTCAGTCAAGATTGGTCATTCATCTTAGAATAGTTTTTATCACTTTTTTCTTTACAATTTCAGAAAAGAGTATGTGATTGAAAATATTATCTCTTCTGTTTTAAATGAATTATAACTACCAATAATCTAGTATTTCACTACTCAATGTGTCTAGACTTTTGTAAAATCAAAATGAACAAACAAATTTTGAATGGAAAGAGTTTTTTATGTTGGATTTTATTTTAGATTATATTGCTTCTGTTAGAAACTCAGAATCAGTACTTGAATTGTCTGAAAGATGTGTAATTATTTTCAGATTGAAACGATTTTGCGATTCACACGAATTTTCAATCGGAAACCACTCTAGAAATTGAAGAACAAAGTATGAAGAATATTGTGACAATTTTGAACCTGTCTCATTTTCGACCAATCTGTGAAAGTTCTTATAGAGGCGGGGAAGAAAATAAAAATTCAATTGTGTTTTTTAACACAACACTTTGAACATTGAGCCCTGCAGGGGCTGCCGCCTCTTGAACCTCGCTCTCAGCGACGCTGCCCCCGAACCCCTGCCAAGGAGACATTGTCTCTTTGGAACCACCATTAAATAATCAAGGGCTTTATCATAACAAACTTAATAAGACATGCACTCTGCACCACCAAGCTTCTTAGATGATTATTATGATAATATTGATCAAATAATCATTATACTTATACCAAAATATATACCAAAATAAGTATATAACTTCCTTCGTCTCTAACTAATTTGCATATTTTACAATGTAAGATTAAGTATAATCAATATAATTTTTTCATTTCATTTGACATTTGATAAAACACAGAGTGTTATCACATCTTATTTTTTTAACTTTTTTATACTCTGTATACTTCTTTATTTTGTAACGGTAAATACTTCCTATAAACTTTAATTTTCGTATGTGGTTGGAGCACCGGCCAAAAAATTACCCTAAAAGGATATCTGGACTCTTTGCGTCCTCTGTGACTTTGACTGAGTCAGCAATACAATAACTCAATGCAGTTCGGGATCGGGAAATGGTAAAAAAAACTGAAATCAAAGAAGACATGCATGTTTACTCATCTTTTATTTTAGCCTTAATAGCGCCATGTTTAGTGGTTCTTGTCCATTCAAAGTAACTACCCACCCACTTGCCTACCTATTCCCAATTCACTACGCACAAGTCAGAGCACTGGTAACACCCCTCACGCCCACCGACGTTACGGGGCGTTTAACGCCCCGGGGGCGTGAAACACCGTCCCCCGCCGGCGTGAAACGGGCGTGAGGGCGCCTGCGTCAAACGAATGACGGGGCGTGAGTTGGGCGCTGCTCCCTCCTAACGGCTAAAATAGCTGTTGCACCCCAAATTAAAAAAAAAAAAATTCCTATAAATTCAACCCTCCCCAACCAATCTCTCACACCTTCTCTCCAATCTCTTCTTCTTTCTTATTTTTAAATTTCAAAATTCAAATCCCTCCTCCCAATTTTCAACATGAATCCTTCCGGCTCCGGCTTCGATCCCGACAATCTCCCCCCGAGTGACGCCGCGATGTGGTTCTACCAAGAGTGGGGCGATCGACCGCCGATATACGAGACGCAACAATCGGGGTACGTCGACCGAGATTCGGTTCCGGAGACTCAACCGGAACCGTCCGGATCGAAAAAAAGTACACGCCGGAGGAGCCACAAAGCCAAAGGCACGTTGACCGATGCGGCACGGGCAATCCAAAAGTGGACGCCGGAGGAGGAGTGCATATTGGCGTCGGCTTGGGTTGACGTCTCCGAGCATCCTATCATTGGTAAAGAATTTGTTTTTTCTAATATATTTATATTTTTATTTATATATATTATATTTAATGGTGTCAAAAAAAATAATTATATACTTTTTTAAAGGTACGGAGCAAACGAAGGATTCGATGTGGGATCGTATCGAGGAGAAGTTCTTCACGGCGATGAAGAAGGACGGCTCCTACCGAACCC